ACTCTTTCCTGCGTTTTAGTGCCACTGGCTTCAAGCAGGATGTTGTGTAATTTTGGCCCACACCTTCTGCTAAATACAGGAAATAATTAAACCAATACACATCAGCATCCTGCTCTCATCAGGAGTACTGAGAGAGATACAGATACTTAGCCTTAAAACTCTGCAGACACACATCAGGCTGCAGCTACAGGAACTCTCTCCATCAAAAAACCTTTTGGTGGTATTGTCTAAGCAGTGAGACTGTCTGATGCTGCCGTAGGTTTGGACTGAAACTAGTAGTACCAGTCATGTTGCATTAGACGAGATGAAGCCTTCACATCCATATGGTTTCACTTCAGTTAGTGCTCCAACACAGGAACAGCAGAAGGTGTCGACTTTTCAGGAGGGAAAGAAAGCATCATGCAGACTTTCTCCAGAGGTGCTGGAAAGGTTCCGTAAATCCAGGGATGGTCAGGTTTTAGTTTGAAAGCTGAGGGTGCTTCCCATGTTGTCTAACTCCACTCATTTTCTAGAATTTGACAAGCTGTGAGCAGATTGGTGCTGGTTAGCTGTTTGTGAAGAGGCCTAATCAGCAAGCTAATGAGTTAGATGGTGTGTGATGAATCTTTGGTGGCTGTATTTTTATCTAAAATGTCCTTTAAAGATACTGTTCTTGATAGTGCCCCAGATCCTGGCTTTTCCTCCCAGATGTTGTTTTGAAAGTCAACTTTGAACTGTTTTCTTTTAAAACAGTGACATTTTAGGGTTTGGGAGTGTAGGGAGTGCACTTTCAGACTGATCATGTCAACAATTCGTTGTGTAATTTAGGGTAATAATAGCACATGTAAACATTGCATTTGGCTGGACATCTTGTAGAAGTCATTTAAAACCTCCGTGTGTGTCTGTTGCTCAGGCTTATTTAGTGTTAACTTGTGCCCATAAATACATTTCTCAGTTGGGTTAGTGATGGTACAAAGAAAAAAGGAAAGCAGCTGTGAGATGAGAACATTTACCAAGATAAATATATGCACAAATGCAATCCAATCATTCATTTTTATTAGCAATCAACTCATCAGCGTCATTGTGCACACTAAGCACATCAGAGTTGAAGAAAAGCAAGAATCATTTCTAAAAGAAAAATAAATTTGGCAAATACAGAGGGAGACTCTGTGAGGAATCGGTGAATAGATTAGATTTTACCCTGTGGATTAAAAAAGTGGCGAGGTAATGATCAGCGCCCTGTTAAGTAGAACAAAGCCAGGGTGCACAGAGCGAGCACGGCAGCCTCTGAATCACAGATTCCTCACAGCTCTGCACAGTCCTCTCAGCAACGGACAAAACCAGGCTCCATTCAAATTCTGTTCACGCTCTGTTCGGCTCTTGTAGGCGACTGTCGGACTCAGATCATCCTGTCATACATGATCAGTGCAGGACAGGAGGAACATTTATCAGGCCTTTGTGACCTTTGACCTTGATCACTTTTAATTGATTGTAAAACCTGAAGTTCACACTCTTTGTAGTTTCATTGTCAGCTGGAAAATGTTATATATTATTGTGTTTCCCTGTTAATCCTTGATTTTTATGGCCTTGTAGTGGAAACTGATAAGGAGGTGACTGTGGTTCAGTGGGTAGAGCGGTCGTCTCCCAACCAGAAGGTTGGAGGCTCAAATCTCGGTGCCTGCAGTCCACGTGTCGAAGTGTCCTTGGGCAAGACAATGAACCCCCAAGTTTCCCCCGATGGTTAGAGCCATCGGTGTGAGTTGGCGCCGCAGATGGCTGCCATCGGTTCTGTACCGGAAACAAATTCCTTGTCTGTAACATACTTGGCCAAAACAAAAAACAAGAGATACTGGAGCTATTTTTCACTCAGTTGTCAGCTTGGTAGACACAGTACACCTGGATAATCCTAATGCAGTCTAATACAACAGCCTTCTGTTCAGACCTTTCCAGAGAAGTGTTGGTTCAACTGTAGTTTGTGCTGCCTTACACCGAGAAGTGTTTCTGTCAGCATTTAGTTGGTATGTGTTATCCAGTCCATCTCTTGAGGGAAAATGTTCTTTTATCTGTCTTCCTCTTGGTGCTGAGCGGCCTGTGTGCAGCCAGTTGTTAGAGCTTTGTGCTGAAATCAGATGACTGCTGTGGCCGGGAGTGGTGAGAGGGAACCAAAGTTGTGGTCTGTGACAAACCGAGACAGTGAGCTGAGAGATGCTAAACCAGTCACATGATCCCTTAAGATTTTGATTATACCTGCTTTTAAGTACATTTAGAAAGTCAAGTCTAGCAGCAGTCACGTATCAAATCCTCGTTTGTGTGTTTCAGAGACACCATACAGAGAAATCACTATGGAAAATACTGCGACTGCTTTGTCTTTTGCCTCGTAGCTAAAATTGTAAACGGGACCGGTTTCAATAGTCAGTGGAGACACTGTTAGGCCAGTGGCACTCAGATATTCATCATCATGATCGGTATATAAATTATAGGATGTGTCAGATGATTCAAACTAAGAATAAACAGTGATTTATGAGTGAGCGGGACACAGTCTGGAGAATATTGCATGTTTTCTGTAAGAACTTGAGCAGTGATCTCTGTGTGTGTGTGTGTGTGTGTGTGTGGGTGTGTGTGGTGTTCACAGTATCAACAAATGTACTTGTTTTTCTTTAGTGGGTGTGACTTTTTTCACACATCTCTACAGAGGGAAACAGACCCAGGCTCAGGAAACAGACCCCACTACTGTGTGTGTGTGTGTGTGTGTGTGTGTGTGTGTGTGTTTTGGTATATGAACAGATGTCCTGCTGTATCAGAAAATTGAAAAATTTAATCTCGTGTTTAATTTTTGGTTTTGATTCTCAGAAAGTTAGATTTAAGAAAACATCTAAGTGTGAATATCAGTGCTCGTGTTCATACTTGATCTCTGTGTGTGTGTGTGTGTGCGTGCAGGTGCCTGTGTAAACACTTTCATTGCAGCTTGTAAAAAGCAGCAGTGGGCTTTATGAGAAGTTGAACTACCTGCTGGGTCAGTGTTGGTTTCTGTCAAACACATTGTGCAGACAGTTCCCACGATCAGTGTTTCCCGACTCTTTGGCAGAAAACCTCGTCCTCTCTCTTCTTCAGCCTCTTCACACACAAACGGGGAGAGTTCGTGGTTTCCTGTCCTGCACAACGAGACACTGTATCCTTTCTCACTCTTCTTGCTCCGCCTTTTTCATGCTGGTTGTCTTGCACTTTCATTCCTTTACACCACAAATATCTTAACTTGATGTAGGCAGTACTCCAGCTAATCATCTTGTAAGTTTTTAATGTGATGACCTTTACCTCAGTAGGCTCCTTACGAGCAGAACCTCATTAATCCACAGCAGATTTACAGTAAGTTCAATGTTTTTGATATTTGGCAAACATTACTCTTATGTGCTCAGTGCGAGAGCTCATGATGTGTTCTATCCAGTTTCCTACCGTCGAGCTTCATGTATTTCTTAGGAGCGTTGCTGTCACCATGACAAAAGAACATTTGTTCAGTTTCTCATTATAATAAAACAGTTATATTTATGAGCCCTTTGTCACTTTGACATATTTCTCTTGCTATTAGTACATTGGCTTTAACAAAATGTTCTTTCATTTTTTACACAATCAATTTTTCCATTATTACACAAAATCAAATTATAATTCTAAGTTTAGCAACACACCAAGTCAAGTTCTTCTGTAACATGATAGGGATTGACCATTTTTCTGTCATGTGGCAGCGATTTGCTGTAAATATAACTTCATAAATTCTCCTGAATGAATTTCACCTATCACTTAAACTGAACCTCTTGCAGCTGAACAGTTTTGCATCATTGACCTTTTTTTTTTTAGCCCATGATGCCGTTTAGTTCAGTCTGCTAACGTCCTCCCCCTCCCCTCTCCTGATTACTGGAAGGTTCCAGATGGCATCAGCTGGTTCCAGCGGCATCTGTTGAAACCTCAGCACTTACATTTGTACTAGTCCAATGAACAGCTCGGTGTCCAGCTACACTCCCTGCTGACAGACATGTAAACACCCCCTCACCCTTTCTGAACTTCACCCTACCATTGTATAACTCATCAGTGGATTTGGACCCAAGTTGTACAGTAGCCTAAAAGCACGCTCACAACACTTTCACTTATGGCAATATGTTTATTTCAGTAAACACGGCAATAATAATTGGCAACAACACAAACACCTTCACATTCCGTTACTTGAAATAGCTTCATAGATACAAAAAAACGAGAGGGAAAGACATGAGGAAGAGGATGGGCGGATAAAATCAGGTCAAGGCAGAGCTTCAGGCGTCTAGATGGTAGTCAGAAAGCTTCAGTCCAACACCGATCCCCCTTCAGCTGGAAGACCTTCCAACTGCCGCCACTGTGCATTACGTAGCTTGAACCATTTCTGGAGGAAACAAAAAGAAAGAAAGGACAAACATGTACAAAGGACGGTTGAATAACTGGTAACATGAGGTTTTGTGCAGAAACAAAGCGCATGTGTACATTTGGCACCAACTGCTGCAGAACCTGAAACACGAGAGCAATGATGTAACTGGTCTGGCTGAAAAAAATACATTCATGACATGAATATTCCTGAGAAATTTCACTAGTAGAGTTTGTTGAATTATAAAGAATCATTTGAACAAAATACCGAGTTCTCCTCAAGTCCTTATTGTTGTTTTCTGATCCTCAGGCCACTGGTTACTTTTTGTATGTGGACACATTTAAAAACTACCACAGCTCTTTACGTGGCATTACATGACCTAATACAGTATTCCTGATGCGTTCAAATGAGAGATACCCATAACATGAGCAAAACAGTTAAAGTGCATGCAGAACATGGTGACTGGGATCCATTACAGAGCTGTCGCTGCACAAAGTTCAGTTTGAGGCACTTTATAAAACTGCCACGTCATCTGTTTTGAGAAAGGAATAGCTGATTGGCTTTAAAATTTTAATTAATTCATCATTATGTCTGTGCAATGAGGAGCTGTAGTCAGACATGTTTACCTAGGCTAGCATAAAGACTAACATTCAAATAGTTCACATGATCCTGTATTCCTAAAAATACACTTAGCAGAACTTATAAACCTCACTACCTAATGTTTTATCTTGTTTGTTTAATCCTTACACAAAAGGCTCTCTGGGAAAGATGACTCCCACCCAGGGAAGAAAGGTGGAGAGTGAGCGCAACCATCCTGATCCAAGGGACATCTAAATCCACACCCGTTCCTACTTCCACCTCAGCCCTACACTCACCCAGCCTCAGAGGTGATGCAAAGCAGGAACACCACCTGAATCAGGGTCAAGAGTTTTCCCGGCTAACCAGAGAGCAAGTCTTGGAATGGCTCAAGAACGGCAGGAAGTGCTGGTGGTATGCCTGTAACCACTTGGCTGCCGCTTGCAACCTGAAGAAACCCTGCTCTAAGTCCAAACACCTTATCATACTTCACAAACTGAACCAAAAGCCCAGAGTGTGAAGCCACAACAGGAACTGCTGCCACATCTCCTGCTCCAGCAGGAACCAGTTCAACGCCCAAGACACTGTTGATCAGTCCAGTGTATATAACAGAGTCCTACGTGAAGTGGTGAGAGTCAACCTACATTATCGGGATAAGGTTCTAGATACCTATGTGTGACGGGGTTTTAGTTTGGAAAGAAAAAAAAAATGTAGCCGCAGAGATGGTGCAGAAGAATAATTTATGCTCGACTCCCAAGGTGCACGGTGGGGAAAAAAATTTAGATATTTACAAATTGTTTAAAAGTGATTCTCAAAAAACCAAAAGACAACAAACAGGAACAACGAGAGGAAGAAAACAAAGAGCAGGACAGTTACCAGCAGGATAGATGCAACTTGGTGCAGACTGACTCACTTATATACACAGTTCAGTCACAAACTTTTATTTTTCATCATTTCCAGGTTTGTTCTTACTGTGAACAATTTATTTAATTCACAAAAAATATAAATAACACTTACAAAACCACTTCAATAAAGAAAAAACAGCAAATCCTCGAATTTCTTGTGACGTCACACTGACAATCCAGTCACATGGTATGCACATGACATCACAAGAAATTTGAGGATTATTTGTTTTAATAATTTTCTTTACTGGTTTTTGTTATTTAGCGTAAACCTGCTTTTTCTGTTTTTGTGAATTAAATTGTTTACAGCAGGAACAAACCTGGAAATGATGAAAAATAAATGTTTGTGACTGAGCTGTGTATATAAAGGGAGCCAGGTTCTAGCCTGAGTTGGTGGAATCACTGCTAATCAGGCTGTTAACCTTCTTACACATACAAGTGCAGTTACTTGCCCACTATGTGGACAGACGGAGGCATCAGTTCTACACTCAACTCTCCTCAGTGTCAACTTTTCCTGTTTTATCTCTTTTACTCCACTGTGACATTGAGGTATAACTCCTCTTCACTGTCAGTCCACACATACAGTACACGTGTCTCCCTTTTCTCGACGCGCCGTTAACATTACCAGAACTGGTAGCTACTTTTTTCAGACTTCTGACTGGCCAGCATGACTTTAGATTACAGATATATCGATTTTGGTGACACTAGGCGACCCTCTGTAAGCGTGATTAGCATTTAAGGGCTTGCATGCTACTACTAGTGCATTAATCTATTACAGTAATTGCTGCTAATTACCTAATCATAATAACATTAGCATAATGCACATACAGCTGGCATGTTTAACACTAATGTTTAGGATGTAACAGTCATGAGATAATATTTGTGCTGTGTACAGGATATCAACAAGCTGAATAAGATTACGTTAAAAGAATTACAAGTTAAAAAGTGACGAGGTTTCAGGGCAGTCCCAGTTCAAGATGAATATAAGATCCTTCATACACAGCCTTCAATAAAGCCCAGACAAAAACGACGATTAAATGAGAGCCACAAACTGTAGCTACGTTCCTGTCAGACTCATTTTCATAATCACACTACAGTCACATTTCTTGGTCTATGTAAATGTGGTTGCTGACTCTTATAGCCACAACAGTGGCCCAGAGGCTAAACCATAGAAAATGACAGCTTCCATCTAATTTCAACAGTGAATGCGTGCACAACTGGCTCCCTGCTCTCTGACCGCTCAGCTAATAACAGCTACACTGAAACTTGGACCAAACACACACCCATAACCGACATTGTGTTTAGTCAAGGGATTCACAACAACACTGACATCATCATCACAACACCAAAAGGAAAGCGGGATTAAGCACTGACGCCTTAAGACACAAGGCCCTGGCTGGGTGTGTGTGAGGCACACGCCTGGGATGGTTTCCACATTTTGTACTGAAAATACATGAGAAGCCCATTTGGGCTCATCTGGGTTTGCATTTAAAATTCTATGAGACCAAATCAATTCAAGAACCAGTTGCTGAACTTGGCTGTTTATGCTGCACTCACTTCTGCCAGACATCACTTTTGCCAAATAGGTTACTATAGTCACCATCAAATATTTCTCAGCTAAAGAAAATCTATTCTATAAAGATTTAATCTTTGCAAATACAGTGTTCTCTTCCAAGTTTAGAATGGAAGTGAGGAGCTCTTTTTCCAAATGGTAAATTGGTATGTAATTTAGTTTCTGGTCTTTTTCAAAGGACAAAAGACATTTGAAGGAAGGGCTTATGAAAGCTTTATAGACACGCCACTTCTGAACAATATTTGTGTGAGCTATAATCCTGTGATCCTTACAACGGTACCTATGTCATATTTTCCCATTGACTAGCACCAAATTACACAACAAGGTCTTTCAAACGTGACTCTAGCTTTAAGGCATCGGCTTTGCAGCACTGAAAACAAATAAAATGGTGTGTGAAAGGAGCAAACATGCTGCACAGAGGCTGAAGCACAATGTAAGTGTTGTCAGAATGAAATGGGGAGTGGTAGCCACCTAAAAGGAAAGCTTTGTTAACAACACTCAACAGGAAGAAAAGGAAAGGAAGCATTAAAAAAACCTTGAGCTAGGGATGAAGTGAGGTTCTTTCTTCAGGGGCCAGAGCTCGACCTGGTGCCAAGTGAAAGCAAAACAAATGCTTCATTACCCTCTCAAAATCCTAAGCTTGACAGACAGTATGGATGAGAATGATTACATATTAGCAGTAGTAGGCTATGGAGTCAGGCCAGGGTCAGTCGCAGCATTAACTAGCATCAGTAAGCCCTACTGCCTGAAGAAAATCCAGAGGACTGTATCAGCTGTACACAAGAGTTAAAACCGTGATTTTAGGGGCAGCAACATACCAAACTATTATTTAAACTACACGCTTCTTGAGCCTGATCCTCACATTTCCTCCCAGTTCCTAAACAGAATCAAGCTCTGAGCCAATTAACTACTTATATAATAACAAGCTACATTTGACTTACATCCGACATAACTGTCATGATTATGTTTAGGACTGGGGGTGCTGTCAAGATGCCTCTGAGCCAATACAATGACTCAGCAGATCCACTTTAGACATGGACAAAAGTACATACGCTACTGCAGCACTGATGCGCTCCCTTTGCTGTGGAGCTGGCATAAAAGAGGATCCAGCTGCACTTCAATAATTCATCTGCCTTAACTAAAACAGGGAAAGGTACAAACTACACAGTGCACCTGTTTTCACATCAGGATGAAACCTGCTGCTGTGTTTTCTATGCAACTGCAGCCCTGAGAAATCTAGAGGAACTGGTTTGTGGCACTGAAGTGGAAAAGCTGCGAGGAGCATGTTTGTTGACGAACACAAGTTACTGACTGGCTGAATGTTTGTACTGGAGGAGCCAATAATGAAACACATACGTGACAGCTCTGCCAGCCCCACAAACACAAGCAGGCATTTGCCTATGAAATGAGCCTGATGTTACGTCAAGTCAAATGACAGAGTTTACATGTCAGGCTTTACTTCCTGGTGGCTACAGCTGAGCACATAGGAATAACACCTGCCCGTTTTTATTTCCAAATGAGACACATCCACACTTTAATCTTACAAAACTAAAAGTCACTTTGGATTATAGCTGAAAGTTTGAGTGATTCATCGATCAGAGGAATGCTACTGCAGAACTTCAGATGCTTTGTCGGTGCACTGAAGCTTCACATCTGGCTCCAGATGTGAAAGCTACAGACGTTACAGTAGGCCGAACAAATTCCTCAGATAGAGAAATGTGGGAACGGAGGAGGATAGAGACCAGATACCCAAAGTAGCATCTAATGTTTATATAATTAACTGCAGTGGGAAAGTTGCTGCAGGCTAATTAGTCCTGATGTACACACAGAGGTTGAAAGTAACAAAGTACACTTACTCAAATACTGTACGTAAGTACAAATTTGAGGTATTTGTACTTTGACGATTTTCATGTTCTGCTACTTCACACTTCAGTTTTACTATATTTCAGAGAAAAATACATATTGTACTTTGTACTCACTATATTTATTTGATAACTTTAGTTACTAGTTACTTTACAGAATGAGGTTAATGAAACAGGAGTATAATCATAAGATTCACTGATTATTGGTGTAAAATTCACAAGCCAATCAGCAGTAATTCAAATTATAAGCACATAAGGTTATAATTAGCTCTGCCTTTACCAGCTGCAGTATTAAATGTAATGTACACAATAATACTTAAGTAATTATAACTGAATAATGTGATATACATCAATGTGAAGTGAGCAATTAGCATAATTAGTACTTTAGGTATATTTTCTGTTAATACTTTATTATTTTTACTTGAGTAACATTTTGAATGCTATAGTTTTATTTGTAACAGTCGTTTTGGGCTGTGGCATTGCTACTTTTACTTAAGTAAACTATTTGAGTACTACTTCCACGACTGTGTACATGAATCATGTGAAATGACCAGTGATGAGATGAAAACCAGACAAAGACAGATCTGTGTGGAGCAATGGAGAGACTCACATCCCTCAAATTAATAAGTAAAACTAAAATGAAATCCAGATTTTTTTTTTTTAATCACATTTTCTAATGTTTTTGTAGAGTGTTTTTGAGCTGGCTGCACCTTCTTCCTCTGCAGAAACTTAATAAATCTCAAAAATTAGCGCCTCCCACTGTTTATCTTGAAGAATAATGGCACCAGATAGAAAGCGATTCAATAATTTGCTTTAATTTGCATTTTCCTTTGCAGATTTTCTTGGAATTTGTTTAAATTTGTGCTACATTTAGATAGAAACCCATTTATCTATATTTATACCCTGAACTATGTCATAAAACTGCCATTTTGTGTGATGGGATTTTAATTTTTGGGTGTCTGTTTTAGAAAAAATACTGTTTGATCATTCATTCATTCATTCAGTATTTCTTACCTGCAAACATCTTCTAGCACTGAGAGACTGACAACAAATCAATACACTTTGTTGTTTAGGTGCTTTGCTCACTAAAGTGCAGATACTGCAGACAGACTGGCTGCTACTAAATAAAAAATAAAAAAAATAACTCATACTGTACAAATATCAAAGTAAAAGTACTGGACTATTGAATAAATAGCACCGCGAATCTAGAAATGATTAAATCACTAAAAATACCACGATTCCGTATGAAATCACAATTACTTCCAAAATGCTTTGAGTGTGATAAGGAAGCAGTCTGCATAAGAAGACTGATAATGGTCTCCTGGAAATCAAAGTGTTTAACGCTTTGCTCAGCAACAATGAGCCCAAACATCTAAACCGGTAACGATCAGAAAAACTGATGAGGACAATGAAATGTTAGCTGGTCACTCACCAGTGTGTCCTCCTCTGACAGGTCGCACTCCGCAGCGACCAGCGTGAGCGTCGTCCTGTCCGGGTGCTTGGTCACTTTGTTGAAACAGTGCTCCAGCACTTTGACCTGGCTCTCCGACAGCTTCAGACACTCCGTGGCTTTGGAAGTCATATTCCTATTTCCTCCTGCTGTCCGGGGTTCAAACAGTCCAGCTTCAGCCCTGCTCGGAGCTCCGGAGCGGGTTTGATGTGCGCTTAGCTAGGACGCACAGTGGAGAGCACCGCGGTGCGCACGGGACGCGGAGATGAAGCGAGGAGCTGGGGGTGACTCACTGACAGCTCGGCGGGAGTGTGGGTGTGTAAGTGTGGAGGCTTTACTACCGTCAACAGCTGCACGTCATGAGGCCAGTCCCACCCTGAAAGCCCTCCCCAAAACACAGCGGGAGGAGGAGGGACAGACTTCAGCCAGACCGATTCCAGGAGTATTACCATGTGGGCAGCTGTAATTAGACTGTGATGGCTGTGTGAGTGCACAACGGTGGATCCAAACTAACGTCCCTCCTTGTGTGTATGTGAGAATGTAATTCTAGATGGAAATTTAAAAAAAAAAATCACTTTCACTGTATTAAAGGTAAATCTAGGCAAACAGCTGTAACTAATTCTACACTAATCCAATTATTCAACCTAAATCAGGCTAAACTGTCATATAAAGCAGATGAATAAGCACTCACTCAGATTATTAGTACTGCTATTAAACCACAGGACAATACTTAGCATAATAACTGTATTCACCATCTGCATCTGGCACAAACAGCTCCAAAATTCTTACATAGTAATAAAAGTGGACTTACCCTTTGCTGCATGTACAGAATACACAAAAAAGGTGTGAAAGCGAATTCATTGTCTCACTCTTCAGGCAGATAATAGGATCTCAGCAGCAACCACTGGTAACCATTGGAAATCATAAAGAAATACCATAAAGTATGAAGCCCACTAGAGGTGCACTGATCTGGCATTTGGTCATAAAAACTGTAAAATTACAGCAGGTGAAGAATGTGAATGATATTATAGAAAAAGTGTTTACCATGTTATTTATATACAAAAAAAGAGAAAACATGATCCTGCCTTTATGCTAGGTGCCTGTTAGATCTAACTCCATACCTGAAATGAAAATGGTATCAATCTCCTGCGCATGAAATCTGAAAGCTGTGAAGAGCCACTGCCACTACCTGTTCAACAACAAACAGCAGACAGAACAGCTGGCTGCTGAACACAGCGGAGTGTTTCCTCCCGGAGGTGGTGGAGACCCTAAACAGAGCTAATAGAGGGGGAATATTGGACTTCCAGTTACCAGCCGACCAGAAACACAAGCTTAAACGAATGTGACTGCTGTGGAAATAAGCCACTGTTTAGTAAGAGGCTTGACATTTTAACTTAAAAGGTGGTGATGTGTTCACAACTTGTCACTGCTGCCCCCAAGTAGTTTAAAGTATATAATAAACAGTTAGTGCGGGTTTAAGTGATAGGAATCCTAGCTCATATGATAAATGCCTTAAAGAGGGATAAAGGTCACTGTACAAAAATAAGGACATGGCAATACTATGTAACTAAACTCTACTGGCTCACTGTTACCTCACTGTAGTATCACAGCCACACATATTTACACACCAATAAAGGCTATGGATGGAACAGCTGTTTCAATAAAGCCTCCCTGAACAATCTCAAATTAAAAGGGATCTAAAAATGTCATGCAACACAGTGCAGACTAAAAGCTGTAAAAACATCAGTGAAATCTAAGTACAACAGACTATGTCCCACACAGGAATAGTTCTGGAAGATAAAGGTGAAAACTACACAAAGGATAAAGGGATAATCCCCACTTTTGCATTCTCACTTTAAGATGAATCTGTCTCCGTTTATGGTCATACACAAGTCTGATCCACTCGTATTAAAGAACATGTTGACTGACTTGAGACGAACACAGTACTTTGGACGTCACCCGTAAAAAGTAAATGTTACTATGAAGTTTAACTGTGATGAACTTAAGTGGAATATTTACAGGACCGTTATGATGATTTTCTGCATGTAGAACATCATGGCAGAAACAACATATGTGGCCAATAGAAGGTTCCCTTTGATGCCTTCTCTGGATTTGGATTAGACCCATAATTACATGGTACTCTCACTGAAAGCTGGACTTAAGCCACTGCAAAGCCTGCTGGATGATTAATGCCAAATAATATCACGCCTACACAAATCCATGGAGAAAACTCATCTGACAGCAAGCCAATCAGTCGAGACGTATTCAGCTTTCAGATTCTTTAAAGATCCTTTAATTCAGCCCCATCAGCGCTATTGTCTGGGCTCTGTTTGCCAGTCTATTTGGGTCGCTCAACATGCTGGGAGCCCTTTCTTTCAACTTCAGAGGATTTTTCTCCTTAAGTTTGATTCATTCTGTTTGAGAAGAGGGATCTTCTTCAGTGTCATGTGGCACAAAGAAACCACACAATCATGACTGGCGCCTTAATGTAACTATGTAAGAGATTATCTGTCAAAAACATTACCAAACAAATGCTGCATGGTTCCTTTTTGGACACGTTTAGTGCACAGGAGGCAGCTCTGGACACGGATTGCCCTGTAAAACCTTAGTCCTCTTGCATCAACTTGAAATTTGGTGCACAGGGACAAGAAGTGGGGCAACCAGAAAATGGAAAATTAAGTGTGTTATAATAAAAATGTTAGTAGGTTCACTTTAATAAAAAAAAAAAAGTGTTTTCAAGGTCCAAAGTTATCAAGCATTAGAGTAAGACCAGGCAGGAGGAGGAAGGAGTTAAATGAGCAGAGGAATACAAGTACAAGGAGGTGCCAGTTGTTGGACTTTCTAGCAGCATATGAAGCAATGAAAAGACCATCAAGGTCAACCTGGATGATCCTTGGCCAGCACACTGCAATTAAACTCATCGGCTAAAAATAAATCGTGGACTTTCTACCAACCTCGTAAATGTTGTAGTGTTGGAAATTAGCATTAGCCCACAGCAGGCAGACACGTGGGACCTGTCCACATCAGAGAAGGAGGAATCGTTGAATATTGTCCCTGCCTGACAACACAGCATATGGTGATCCTGCTGATAACAAGCTGTTAGTTTCTGGCAAACATCTCCAGTTCCGTGGAAACACTGCTGCTGTGAGAGCTGATTGGCTGCTGCAGATGATCCAGGCCGTATGTAAAGATAAGAAAGCCAAATCCTATCCGAATGATTCACAGTTCACTCTGAGGGAACCACTGTATTCCTGTTACAATGTGTATTGTAGTACCTACAGACTGAAATAAATAACATTAAAGTTAGTTAAATGAGCAACTGAGCACTAATAAATAACTATCATATACTATATGTAACATTAAAGAAAGCATTTACAGTCGCAAGAAAAAGTAAGGGTAAAAGTCAAGTCAAGTTTACAATTTCCTGGTTATGAACTGTGATCTGATCGTCACCAAAGTCAAAAATATCATTTTCTAAGCTGATAAAACACAAGCAGTCATGATCTTTTACGTCCGTGCACTCATTAAACGTCCTCAAATAGAAACACACAGGATGATCAACGCCCTGAGCATCTTCCTGCAGTAGCGCCACCCCTGCCCCACGCTCCTCTCTGGACCATGTCCAGGAGACACTCTTATCACACAGTAAACCTCAGCAATCTTCAACTGGCTCCTTTCAACACATAGAGCAGCAGGTCATCTCCTCCGGGTGTCCAGCGTTAGTCCGTGCATATTAACATCCCTAATTTGGGAGTGAACACAGTCCAGGCATGTTTTGTTTTGTGTACATTTAGATGACAGACTGTTTCTTTAGCGAAGTTATTTAGCTTGAACTTCTCCAGAGCAGATCTGTTCTAAATGTCTGTTCAACATATCCACACCAGCTGACAGCACTGTGTGGATATGTGCTCAGCATCCTCACAGAACACTGAACTGAGGTGGACACAGGTACAGTATGTACAGAAATGGAGACAGATTTGTTCTCTTGTCACTCAACAGGCCTTCTAGGAGGAAGTGCTAAAGACATTCCAAACAGCTAGAAGGGGAAACTGAGACTTGACATCAGGAAACAACTTCCTGACTTGGTTTGGGGATCCAACCAACACAGAGGAAGGAGAACGTTATGAGGAGCTGTACTCTGAGCAGCATAAAGCCAGGATCTGTTATGTAACTCGGTGGGTTTATACTGGGGGCCCCTGGTAGGAAACCAACTTCTCTGTGGCAGGAGCTCAGTGTGAAACCCAGCTGCTGCTGCAGGCCAAGGACAACAGACTGAGGAACCGTCACCTTTGTATGGAGTATTAAAGGAGCTGCGAAAGAGCTACTCTGTTCACTAAACTCCAGAACAAAGCAGTTAATAACAGCAATTTGTTCACTGACAAGACTTTAAAAAATATATATGTCTGACACTTTGTTTCCCTGGGCATCTCGTCACTGCCTTGATCAAATAGGTTTTTGTTATTTCAGTCTCTTCTGACACGTTTTTAAGAAACGGTGACAAAACTTGATGTTTATGGTTTTTGGTGGAGTATCAGCTAAATATACATTAGATATTCAAACATACATCCACATTAAGCCAGTTGAACAGGCATGTTTCTTGCCATATGATGTTGAAATAATTCGAGGTGTTAAAAGTTAATCACCTGATTTAAAGTTTACCCGAGCTTCACTAGATGAGAGGGGGACAAAGTGCACCAGTTTTAACACAGCTGGGTTCTGCCATGTGCTCCAAGGCTGTGGCACTCACTCTGAAGTCGTTCTGAATGTGGTTCAAGTTGAGGACTCGGGCCCATCTGAGGAGGTACGCTCCTCAAAACAAACTCAGCTGGACGCCCCTTTTCTCCCTCCTGACAGCTGAAAAGCTCGATCAGAAGCCAGCTAGAGGCGACACAGAGCTGGCGCGTTGCTGTGTCAAGCTGAACAAACAACTGTGTTTGTTCGTCACACAGACTCGATGAGAGCTGAAAATGATGCTTTCACAGACAGGTGTTATGAAACCAGGCTTTTGTTTGTCGACTTCTGGGGTTCAACCCCAAGTGAACTCTGCAGAGCAACTCTCCTGAAAAAGGATACGGGTCTGCTTCATGAAGGCAAAACATGCGACCACATTTCTGCATCTTATACCGTTAGTAGGGGAACCACAGGCATGTGAGGTCCCTATCTGACCTCAGACTCAAATATTTTCCCTCAGACTACAAGAAGAACTTTTTTTTTCTCTATTTTGAGTGGTGCCTGCGACTATCTGAAGTATATCCGGTGGAACAATAACCCATTGTTTGCTTACAGGATGAACACAAACTGCTTTTGATTGAAGCCAAGACTACAGTTGTAGAGAAACTCCCCTAGACGGCAGAGCGGTGTATCAAAGGCAGATAACCTCCAAGTGCACAAGATAGGAGCTGCGTATGTGTCTAACAATGCGTTTCGATTTCAGAGGGGAAAGGAAGATGTGGAGGGGGAAGGTGAGGGGGGTGGTTCAAATCAAAACTGAATATACTGCATGCAGATGTCAGTGATGAAGACACCTCCACCCCTCTGCTGCTTTCAACATCATCAGACTCACACTGTCAGAACTTTAACTGACTCCAGCTGCTGCTAATGACTAATAAGCAGTGACATTAATACAGTATGTGAATAAATGTCACAATTTATGAATGGTCTTAGTTTTACAACTGTTTACAGACTTTGTTTAAAAAAAAAAAAAAAAAGGTGTGGATTAGTTTGGCACACCGGTGTCGGGCACTACAATACGTAGTTACATCCATAAATGCCACTTAATACTATACTGTGCCAAAAGGTGTCCAGAAGCGCTGTGGGCTTCGAAGCATCTGGGATGGACCATTACACAGTGGAAACATGCACTGTGGTCAGACAAATCAGTATTTCACGTCTTTTAAGGAAGGAATGGACGCCGTGGGCTCCGGACCAAAGACGAAAGTGACCATCCAGACTGTTACCAGCAACAAGTCCAAAAGCCAGGGTCTGTCATGGTCTGGGGTTGTGCCAGTGTCCTTGGCAAAGGGAACATAAACTTCTCTGATGGCTCCATTAATGCTGACAAATACATAGATGCTGGAGCAACACATGCTGCCTTCAAGATGATGTCTTTTCCAGGGACGCCCATGGATATTTCAGCGCAAACCTCATAGTGCACACATGACCAAGGCCTGGCTGTGGAGGGAAAGGGTTTGAGTGCTGGACTGGCCTGCCTGCAGTCCTGATCTGTCCCCAACAGAGAGTGTGTGGTGCATTTTGAAATTCAGATTGCGTCAACTAAGACCCAGGACTGTTGTGCACCTTAAGACCTGTTTGCAGGAGGAATGGGAAACGGCACCAGACACACTGAATTACTTGGTGTCCTCAGTCCCTAAATGTCTTTAGTGTTGTGAAGAGGAACGGTAACATCACACCGTGGTAAAAGCTTTACTGTCCCAACTTTTTTTGGAATGTGCTGCAGTGAAACGATGTCTTAAAAATCAAACATTATGGCAATTAGGAGATTCATCAATGTAGAACTACTATAAAACACAGCCAGATGAGGAAAACGTGACTTCGTGATCATAAATAAATCAAAGCGGGTCTGTAGTAAGAATGAAAGTTGGAGCAGAGTGGTTGACAGGAGCTTAGATGGGGTATGAGGGTTTGGACCAATCAAAACCAGAGTTTAAATATAACCTGCAGAACGGCGTTCATTTGTTGGGTGAAGAAGAGGCACACATTCATAAACAAGTCCTGGTTTCTGTCTCTCCGACATGTTTACTCTTCTTTTACATTGCACAATGTTTTTCAAAAATGACAGATGAGAATGGGAGATTTCTTCATGCAGCTGCCTTTTGCCCAACTGGCACTGAAAAGATGAAAATATTTGAGGTCCAGGGTGCAGTTTTCCATGAGAGCAGCAGCAGTCGGACCATGTGGGAGCCAGATCTGTTTCCAAAAGGAGCAGAGAACAGTCCGCTGGCTGTTTGTGTGTGTCCTAAGGGCGATTAGCCTCAGAGAAGTTCACGGCCCCTTTTTAAGCAGCTCAACTCAGTTAAAGAGCCCATGGCATGCTTTTCCTTGTTTTCTGACTTATCTACAATGTTAGACGGTGAAGTATCAGCTTAGACGTGACCTAAAGCTAAAAAAAATTATGCATATGTGTGTTCTAGTACTTCTATGTAGAAGCAACTTTGTTTATACAAGTCTTTTTTTTTTTTCTAACAAGATCAAGTCTTACGTTATATTTTAAGGATCTCCTTGAATGGTCATAATCTCCAGGCAGTTGTGTCTTCATGTGAGCTTGCTGGACATCCAACAGTGCCATAGCAAAAGCAAAATTTCTCTGGGACTTGATGGCAAGTTTAAAAAACAAACGCTGTGTGTCTGTTAATGCTTGTTTCTGTAATGTTAGAAAGAATTGTTGACAGTCTGGAGAAGTTACTATGCCTGCATTCTACCCAAATCAGAAGAAGCAGCAGGAAAACAGTCATTTCCCCAACTCTGCTCCAGTGAGAGAACTTTGGACACAATAGAAACTTATCGCTGCATTCTCTGGCTTCCCAGTTCTTTACAGAGTAACGTGTACATGTAGCAGTATGTATACAGAGTATATATATATATATATATCACAAAAAAGAATCACAAAGTAGGGCATCAGCAGAGAAACGTCTCCCATCTCTTGTACTTTAAGTAGTCTATGTATTGTAATCCACTTTTTTCCAAAAAGTTATGTAATGGTTCTTGCACTCACCACCATGGGACTGAACAAGTCTGTTAATTTAATGTGTCTGTAGAGATTCCCAGGCATCCAGGTTATGGTATATACAAAGTGGTAAAATCAACAACTGATTGTGAACTTGTGACGTTCTTTTGAAGATGTTTCACCTCTCATCTGAGAAGCTACTTCACTTCTTTGGTTCTTAATTTTACATAAAATCATGTTCACCACAACACACACCCCAGAACTACAGCGTGGTCAGAGCCCAGTGATGCCAAGTCTCGTCTCTGTATGTATGAACACCCTGTGACACTGCTGTAGAACATGTGGAGGAGTCAAAACATCAAGATGTGAGGTGGAGGGAGTGATGCACTGTACAGTAAATGTGTCAAAACATGGCAGCAGCAGGTCAAAGTTACATGAAGTGTGAGAACAGTGAGCAAGTGACATTACATCAGCCTTGAATTTAAAGATGATGGCAGAAGTTAACACCACTGAAAGTTGCTTTGTTATCAGACTGTGTGTGAATTAATGGCACCATCTCATGACAGAAGCAAAAGTTCTTTTTGTTTTTTTATTTAATAAGCTGGTTCATAAATTATCGCACATAAAAGATTCTTTTTCAATAGTTACAAAGTGGAGAGCAACTTGAGCTAGCGCCTGGGGAAAAAAAGAAACTAATGAGAAGATGGCTGTGGGGCTTTTCTGAAGTTGGATCTTACCAAAACATGGAAAAACAGCGGAGCAGAAAACAGAGAGAGGCTGTTAAACATCCATCCACTGTTGACGGCTGTTGTCGATGCTCAGACTAGCAGCAAACAAACGGTGGCATGCATTTTGTATTTCAAAGCACATGCCGAAAAACAGGGGGAATGCCCATTTCAGTGTATTCTCCAGTGTATTCAAAATAGTCTTAGAATTCAACTGAGGATGGGAATAAATCATAAAATAGAAACAAACAGCACTAGCTATGTGAGGCTCACAAAAACAAACAGAACTAAAAATATTGTGTGGCATCTTCTTGGCTCAACTTCCTTTCACGAGTAATGGATTCAATGAGAAGCTAAATGGCGCTTTGACAGTGGTTAAGAGGCAGCAAGGAGACGCTGCAGGAGCTCTGTTCCATAATTCATTTTCACATGTAGCAAATCCCTGTTAATTCATTCATGTATTTATTCCTGCAAGTCTAAAACTATCCCCTCCTCCGTTTCTGATGGTCAAATCAACGAGCTTCGAGGGTGGATGTGTCACCACGTTAAAACTGAGGGAGCGATGGGTCTCCATCATTGGCTAATGCTAGTTTTCACTACACAGCTGAAATCCCTCCTGGCTCTGGTCTGAGGGCTCAGTGTCTCAGTGTGATGGGACCCTACTTGGACACTTGCAGCTGAACGTGCTGCAGGAATTCACTGTATGAAGAAGCCGACTCAGATCGATCCTCCACCAGGTTCTGGAAGAAAGTGGCTTTGGCAGAAGCATCGTCCCTGCAGGAGAGAGAACAAAGCCAAAACAGAACAGGTGTCACATGGGCAGCAGCAGCTGGTTTGTGTTGAGGCTGGGTACTGTTTGAAACACTTCTACAACTAGCGGTAATACCTGAATGCATTCTTCATCATCATCTGATGTTTTACAAACAAAAATACAATGGTTGCCGCCCTCATTTTCATCGCCTTTCAGCCTGTACCAAGATTTCAAATGCTTTTTGTCGCTGCTCAGACATTGGCCTCTTTTGTTCATTGTTTTTGCCCTCCACCTCATCACATGCACTGCTCGCTCACTGTTCAAGTGATGCCAACATCTGTTCAGCTTCCACTCAGTCCATTTTATTGACACCACCACTGGGGTGTGAGCATGTGGGTGAGTAACAATACAGTGTCTCAGAGAGGAGGAGAGAGAGGAAACAGAAACAATGTATTCCTGTCAAAGACAATCTGTAACCCCACTGCTTACTCTGTGTGCGCGCTCTGGAAATGGTTTTTTTTTTCCCTAAGAACCTCAGGCCAACCTCTGCTGGGAGTGGGATTCAACTGTAGCATAAACCCAGTCACACCCTGTTTCTGGTCAGTGTTGGGCGAGAGCAGCTCAATGGAAAATTGAGCAAGCTTTTCAGAAGCATTACAACACTCACAGTGCCTGGTGAATACCACTTACTACTGATGAGAAGTGGACGCTCGAGTGCGACTGCAAGTAAATGAGTTTCGTACTCAATCCATCTCGGCGGCCTGATGGATAAGTTCATAAAACTACAACTGCTTTTTAATTATTGATGTCATTTCAACACTAGCCACAGCCTGAGTCGACTTCCACACCTCGTAGACTGAGAATCTCTTCAACAAACTGAGCCCAGATCAGTGTGCAGAGGGTACATTTTGATTCCCTTAATTTCATCCTCATTTCCTTCTCTTGCGTCTTTCCCATCTTAGTCCCACCCACGTAAAATGCAAGAAAAGCAAATGTGAGGAGAGGAGCCGGGGAAACGCATTTTGAGAGAGTGCTCTTTTAATTATGTCGTATTAATGCACCGGAGCATTTGTGCCACCAGCTGTTCATTCTCAGCGATCATATCTGCATAATGGTAGTGGATACACATGCACATTCATTCTCTGTTTCTTTTGCTGAAACCTGCCACGCCCCTCTAACATCCTCTCAGTTTCAGCATCTGGGCGTCAAAAGATGTTTACAGATGAGCACAGGGATTGTTAGTTAAAGTCAGATGTTAATCCAGATGTGCAGCAGTGCTTACTTGACAACGTGTATTGTAGAGCTGAAAGCTCGGTTGTCCTGCAGCCAGTCGAAGAACGCTCGCACTCTCTCAGACAGAGGAGTCTCCAGCTCAGGAATGTGACTCTAGGATTCAGAGACAGAAAGAAAGGATAAACAAAACACCAACACCATTGTTTTCACCGCTGTGTGTTTCACATAGTCAGCTACACACTGTGGTGAGGTTTGAAATTTGGGCTTTGTAGCTGGCTCTGGGATGCATCGACCTCTTTCTAGAGAAATAAAAGCAGCAGCATAAACAACTGCTGACAGCAGATGTTTGTTCTGGGTGCTGCCATCACACCCACAGTGTGGTAATGACGGGGCTTTCCAGGGAGCTTCACGGTGTGTTAAATCTGTTTTGCTGCATGAGTTATTTGTTTACAGTGCTAACAGAAATGCAGTGCTCTTTTACTGCAAACAAAAAAAAAAACAGTGCCTCATTTTCAGGGTAACATGAACAGTGCTGCATTGCATCATTCATGCAGAAACTGGGTGGTGGTGTTTGTGTCAAATGGAAACAATACTGCCACTTCCATAATCACAGTTACTCTGTCATTCCCCAAAGTGTTGGATGTGGATGAAATCTCCTCCCTGAATTAAAATGACTGTAAACACAACAGTCTAATTTACTTGCTTGTATCGTTTTGTATCCGAGTTTGCCTTACTGACCATGTTAGGGGGTACTGAAGCGTAGCTGGGGCAGCCCAGAACGTCTCGGATGAACATCTCGTTGCAGCATTTGCCTATCCACAGGTAAAACGCCTGGAGAGACAGAAACAGAGGATCAGTGCAGAGGCCAGTGAAAAACACCTGTTAAAATTCTGCAGAGCCAAAGTGTCATCTTAAAATATCTTGTTTTGTCTGGACAGTACAAACCCTAAATACATGCTGACATGTAAGACTAGAAGAAGTTTTAAATCTTCACATATGAGAAGCTGGAAAAAAACTTGGTTATTATTCATTGAGGGGTTATTAAGAGATCACACTGACTGGTTGATAAGGATGTACTGCACACATTAAAAAGCTGATTTATGAAAACAACAGTATTTCAAAATACCTACAACTACCTTGAACAGATATTCTGTCTTTAGATTAAACTCTTTCTATGATTCAGTCTTTTAAATGAAATGATGGGACACCAACAGCCAGTTTAAACTGGGCTGGTAAAGCTGCTGTTGCTATGTTGAAGCTCATAATGATACAATGACTGACCACAGCTCTTTGTTATGGTTGAAAGTAACACATGGCGCTAATTTCCTTGAAATAAATACAGAATTTTCAAATAAGAACTCGTTAGGGTAAATGAGACAGCTATCCGTGGCAAAACAAGAGAAGAATTATAAATGAGAAATAAAATGCAGCCTCTCCAAAGCCCCTGACACGCTCAGGAAAAACACTCCTCTGCAGAGTGCACTATGAATAAATAACAGCTGAAGCTTACGTCGCCACAGTCCATGAGGAAAGCTCCGTCTCTGCTCAGCCTCTCAGCAGACAGGTGGAGCAGTGGGGGCTGTGGAACCACTGTGTTGTTTAGATGGAGCGCCCCCTGCAGGTCACACACAACCAGTGAGATCAATGGCTTTAAAAACGTGATGTATTCTTATTCAAGTACTTCTATGTTATACTTTGAAATTGAAACTTTGAAAACATTGAAATGACACATGGTAACATCAGTAGAAGTGATTCTACATCAGTGTTTCCCACAGATTCTACTTGTGTCATATGGAGCTTGTCATGCTTTCATAAAACGGTTTTAATATAGTAACACTAGTACTTCTGTGCTGCTGCTGTTGATCTGACCTGTCCCTTCTGCATGATGGCTCTCCTCCTCTCCTACATCTCTCTCTTCAGCTATGCCTTCTTGCTTCAGCAGCACTGGCTGAAGCCAGTACATGTTTGAAACAAATCAAGTGGATCCCTAATCACACTGGTCAGACTGATCAGCTTTCCCACGTGTGCTTTTCAATTATTCCCCTGGACCGAGGAGGCAAACCTTCAGCGTCAGAGTTTATGAACTAGCATTAACTTTGCCCACTTGCAGGGCAGTCCATATATAGTGCCTTGTGAAAGTATTCGGCCCCCTTGAACTTTGCGACCTTTTGCCACATTTCAGGCTTCAAACAAAGATATAAAACTGTATTTTTTTGTGAAGAATCAACAACAAGTGGGACACAATCATGAAGTGGAACGAAATTTATTGGATATTTCAAACTTTTTTAACAAATAAAAAACTGAAAAATTGGGCGTGCAAAATTATTCAGCCCCCTTAAGTTAATACTTTGTAGCGCCACCTTTTGCTGCGATTACAGCTGTAAGTCACTTGGGGTATGTCTCTATCAGTTTTGCACATCAAGAGACTTAAATTTTGCCCATTCCTCCTTGCAAAACAGCTCGAGCTCAGTGAGGTTGGATGGAGAGCATTTGTGAACAGCAGTTTTCAGTTCTTTCCACAGATTCTCGATTGGATTCAGGTCTGGACTTTGACTTGACCATTCTAACACCTGGATATGTTTATTTGTGAACCATTCCATTGTAGATTTTGCTTTATGTTTTGAATCATTGTCTTGTTGGAAGACAAATCTCCATCCCAGTCTCAGGTCTTTTGCAGACGCCATCAGGTTTCCTTCCAGAATGGTCCTGTATTTGGCTCCATCCATCTTCCCATCAATTTTAACCATCTCCCCTGTCCCTGCTGAAGAAAAGCAGGCCCAAACATGATGCTGCCACCACCATGTTTGACAATGGGGATGGTGTGTTCAGGGTGATGAGCTGTGTTGCCTTTACGCCAAACATAACGTTTTGCATTGTTGCCAAAAAGTTCGATTTTGGTTTCATCTGACCAGAGCACCTTCTTCCACATGTTTGGTGTGTCTCCCAGGTGGCTTGTGGCAAACTTTAAACAACACTTTTTATGGATATCTTTAAGAAATGGCTTTCTTCTTGCCACTCTTCCATAAAGGCCAGATTTGTGCAGTATACGACTGATTGTTGTCCTATGGACAGAGTCTCCCACCTCAGCTGTAGATCGCTGCAGTTCATCCAGAGTGATCATGGGCCTCTTGGCTGCATCTCTGATCAGTCTTCTCCTTGTATGAGCTGAAAGTTTAGAGCGACGGCCAGGTCTTGGTAGATTTGCAGTGGTCTGATACTCCTTCCATTTCAATATTATCGCTTGCACAGTGCTCCTTGGGATGTTTAAAGCTTGGGAAATCTTTTTGTATCCAAATCCGGCTTTAAACTTCTCCACAACAGTATCTCGGACCTGCCTGGTGTGTTCCTTGTTCTTCATGATGCTCTCTGCGCTTTAAACAGACCTCTGAGACTATCACAGTGCAGGTGCATTTATACGGAGACTTGATTACACACAGGTTTTTTTATTTGTTAAAAACGTTTGAAATATCCAATAAATTTCGTTCCACTTCATGATTGTGTCCCACTTGTTGTTGATTCTTCACAAAAAATTACAGTTTTATATCTTTATGTTTGAAGCCTGAAATGTGGCAAAAGGTCGCAAAGTTCAAGGGGGCCGAATACTTTCGCAAGGCACTATACATCCATGCTACGTACAGTGTGCTGACCTCAGCAACATCTGTATTCCAACATTAACTTAGTGTTGTGTTAAAAACCAAACATGGAGAGGAGGAGCAACGGTCCAACGTGTTTGTGTGTGCGAGAAAGAGCGAGGCACGGAGGGACTGAACGAACACATGCGCTACACACGACAGTGCACTGAAATAACGTTTAAGCTATTTTCATCATGTGGTGGTCAAAGTTGATATTGTGGTGGCCCGCCTCAAATAAGCCAATATAAGGGAGACGCTGTACTTACAATAAAATATTGCTATTCTGTGGTTTTACCATTTTAACTTTTAAAAAAAAAAAAATCCT